GACAAGGTGCGTTTCTATCAGTCTTCCTACCATTATGACCAAGTTGCGAAAAAAAGGTCAAACAACTTCTTGTTTTTCTTGTTTGTTTTTGCTTTCTAATACTTCGTTTGATCTCAATAATTTGTTGGAAATTATTTTTACAGCAATATTGCTGTTATGCTTCTTTACAAATTCTCCTGGACCTTATAAAGACATTGTAGTTAGGGGGCTGAAAACGATTTCCCAAAGGGCATCATTCGGCATTGAGCTAGCCTCGCACTTTGATCTTTTCTATTCCGATTTCTTAAAGGCTTAGATTTTTTTCTTAGGTTTTACTCAGCAATCTTGAACAGAATTTTCCATTACAAGGCTATTCTTCAATCATAACTTCTGTCGGTTCCTTTTTTTCTTAAAATATTTTTTTCGTTTTTAGAGATAGGTTCTACTATCCATCGAAATATACCCGGAGCTGTCGCGGTTCTTCCCCCCCTCTCCCTCAGGCCTCTTTGTACTGATGCCGGTACCGGCCTTCGCCGCGTTGTCCTTTCATCTGCCGTTCGACACGTTGCTCTCTCTCCTGATCTTCGCGTAACTACCGCAAATTGCAATATTGAATCATCTTCACCCAAACAATCCGGTCTACTGGCTAAATGCATCCCTCGGATTACCCAGTCTTCTTCAAGGTCCCCTTCCAGCATCTCGATTAATCAAACATCGAATGGCTTTTTGAAGAGCTTAGCCAAAGAAAGTTTTGCAGCTGATTCGGAAATTAAACCCACTGCACAGAGCTTAGTTAATGCATCTTCAGAAGCCTTAGTAACTTCAGTACCACCATCCCTTTGCTCTACCTATAACCTAGCGACTTCATCATCACCCCCTCCACCGCCTCAGCGACACTCTTCTCACCTATCTCCACAGCACCCTGCTCCTCTAACCATCCGCTTACCTGAAAAAAATCAATCTTTCTCTGAAACGATGGTTACATCAAATGACACAGATAAGCAGCAGTCACCCCATTATCTTATAACTTTGGCAAATGTTAATTCTAAATGTCCGACCTCAGATTCCATTTCAATCCCGACCCTACCTAGCAATTCTGGCAATCCTGGGCCTAAACTTTGTAAATATGATGCCACAGTTCCTTTATCCCATGCATTGAATCATGAAGAAAAACTAGTTAGTGAGAATACAAATGGTGAACAATATTCAGGCTCCAAAATAAGGGTTTTCCAACATTTAGGCGTTAATCAGGAAATGCTTGGCCTTGAACTAAATGGAGATCAGTCTTCTGCGACACTTCTAACCTCCCAGAACCGTAGCAAGTATGTGTTCTCTTTATTTTATGTTACTTCTTATTTGTGCTTATTATGTCTTGTAATAGTACAACTCATGTTATTCTTTATCTCCTGCGCCTTCAATAGTCGCATTATTACCTTTTATTCAGAACTTTAGCTTAGTTTATGGTCCACTCTCTAGAACCCTTAACATAGATTTCCTCTAAAATATCCTTTGTTCTGCCCCTGATTCTCCGACTGAAGAATCCTAGTCTTATATGTAAATATAAGCTGAGTTTCGGAGAATTTCCAGATATATAGATGCTGGCATATCTCTCATCTTGTTTGATAATGCGGTCGAAGGGATTTGTAAGTTGGTTTTACCGAAAGCCGCTGAGGGATTGCCATGGCTTTGTGACTTTGATTGTGCATAGAAGTCCTCGTCTCACCTCCCTGCAGCCCCACTAAATTTTTGCTAAGCTTTTGTCTTTACTCTGGCACAGCATCAGAGCAAGAATCCATACTCTACGAAACAGTGTCAAAATATACTAAACCAAAAGAGAACTGGAAAGTCATGTCGTAATAAATCACTAAGGAATTCGTCAAAACCCAGTTTTTCTTCATATTTACATTATTGCTATGCCACAGTGCCACCCATGCTCGTGGATCACAGGGTGGGTGTGAATTTCAAGCAAGGACAGGCTTTTCCTGTCTTATTTTTGTCGTGTGACTATCAATTATTTTGTCATCCGTTACTTAAGATTATTGTTGAGGCGAAATATCTACCCATATTTGATTAAAAAGTGGATTTCGATGCATTCCTTAGTACTTTCACGTAATTTCATTTCTTATGAATAGCTTGTTATAAGGAATTCGTAATGCAATCTAACTAAGTAACCGAAGAAAAAGGTTTTGGAAATTCTGACTTGATTTCGGTTTATAATTTCCTGGTGCACCTTCTTGCGACTGAGATGAATAAGTGCCGAACTTTTATTTGCCATATGGCAGATGATCAGAATGCTTATAAGCCCGACACATCCCTTCTATAATCTAATTTTTATATCCCGTGTCTCTGATGCTCTAAATTTATTGATTTTTCATGGTTTAAAATTCCATTATTATTGCTCCTCTATCGGTCGCTAAACATGTAATTTTGATGCCAATATGCGCAGTATCTTCTTTATGTAGTCATTTTTTTGCCATTTATATGTGAACAGTTAACTCCATTCGGAAGTCCTCATTAATTTAGAGTTTTTGTACTATTCGCTAATCATTAAATGAATGGTACGAATATTTTTGAGCTTCAATTTCATGTGAAAATCAGCTAACATTGATTTTTATAGAGATACATCAACAAAAAATCTTCAAATATGAATCTTTTATTTGCACTTCTACCTGGTCCCACTATATGTCTTTGAAGATTGTTCAGGCGGCACTCTATGATGGGCAATAGTTGACGACTAATTTATTCTATACATAATTGTCCTAAGCTCACCTCGGATATTGTGTATCTTCACTTTTGGCAAATCATTCTGAACCTCGTTTAGAGTTAGCTTATAGGATCTCCAAAAATACCTTGCTCACAACCTAACACAGTTAAGAAAATTATTAACTTGTAATGTGCTTGATTGAATATATGAAGACCAAGATGTTGTGGCCTCTGATGTGGCAGACGACTTCGGACTAGGTGCGTTCTACATGGTCTCCCTGAAAACAAGACCAAGTTGCGACACAAGGTCAACCCACTTGTAATGTACTTGTTTCTTTATTTTGTTGCCACTTGTTTAGTAAGTTCGTTCTATGAGGGCAATATAAGCCTCCGAGTATATCTTAGGTCACACCATTTTTTTCTCAGAATTGGTCCGTTACCCTATTATTTAAGACAAACTTAAAGATGTGGGTTAACTTCGTTGTCGCAACTTGGTCTTGTTGTCAGGGGGAATTCGTAGAGCACACCTAGTCCGAAGTCGTCTGCCATAGTAGTTTTCATGATTCCCAGCATCAGAGTAGACTTGGTACATTCTCAAACGTTTCGCCGGCATCATCAGTGAGTTTTGCCATACTCCGCACAAAGCTACGAACTCGTCAAAGAGACAAATGAAGTCAATCGCTTGACAAACGTTCCGCCGAAAACAATTACACGATCACTCCTCTTTCTGTTCTGGCCTATCTATCTACTATATACCCTCTTATCCCACTACTGCCCTATCACAACTTCTGATTTGTTCGCATTCCACTCTTCTAAATGTGTGCCCTTTTAGGGCAAATCTAGTGTGGCCTCAATACACTTGGCATTTCCCCCAACACTACTCTTCGGGTCGGCTGATCAGACTCGGGCCTCCAATCCGGATCCCCTTATTGTCTCGTAGATCCGTTCCTTATCTTTCTGGTTGACCGATTTCACTCGGCTCCAGTCCTAGTGTGCATTTCACTCCAGGCGTTATTTCTCAAGGCCCTAGAAACACGTACACTGCCGCTTCACCGAGCAGAGGGTCTAAGCTCTGATTGTCATGCTTGCAGATATCAGGCCTTTCCTTCACGAGTCGTCTCCTTGATTAAACCCATGTTATCTAAGCAAACTGTGGACGACTATCTCTGGTCGCATCCGGCATCTTAAATGGATTTCTATTGCATTTTGGCCATGACGACGAATTTCCATGACGGTTTGCTTATCCGTCTGCCCAAATCCCTGACTGCTAGGCCCCCAAAGATGTACTGGTTTATTCGAAATGGACGTCACTCCGGCGTAATCTAGCCAGGATTCTGTCTCCGGGATATTTTCAAAAACTCCAGAGCATGACCGACAGTAAATCACGTAGGATTTCTGACT